AAGTCGACTACGACATGAAGTCTCCCTTCTCATTTGTGGTAGGGTCCAGCTTTGTTCACTTATTCATGTTGCGAGAACAGCCCTTGCTGATGGCAGCTGCTTCCGCACTCTCTCCGTCAACTTATCGAACGGTGAAAACTGTCATTCATTTTAGCCGATTTGACATTTCGTCATGTGAGGCATAACACGGAGTCCATGCTTTCAGAATGATCAAGCTTTTCTAGGTGTAATGTATCGTCAACAAAAGGTTGTGATATTAAGGGTCAGAATAAGGTGTATTATTAGGAAAAAGTATACTGTAGCATAGAAACGACCAAGGCTCAGCAAGCGCTGGCAACAGGAGTTATTTCCAGCAGAATATTCGCTCATTTTTTGTTTTTATCCCTGTGAAAAGTACCGTATACTCCTTGGATCTGTCCGCCTGCGGTCCGTTAGCGAAAAGGCAAAGTCGAATTTTGCCGGATTGTTGACACGTCAGAATCAAACCTAGCGCTGTAGAAGCAATTGGTTTCCGGACGGCGTTCTGGAAACTGATTGCAGATTGCCATAGCATCCTTCGCTAAAAGGACGTGACGTGTAGCAACGCCTTAGTAGACGATCACATAAAAAACACGGCTAAACAAACAGCCGGGAAATTGAACACTGCAAACACGTCATGTGACATAGTTGGGAAAGAGAGGAGGACAGACTTGAGTGCGCTACGTGATGGTACAGTTGTAGAAGAGTTATGATTGTACAGTTTAGGACAAGCTACGTGGAGAAATTGGGCTTTAAGGGGGGATGGAGGAGCAAAAAATAAGATACGACAGGGGTCATTCGGAGCAGTGTCCGAAACAGCATCTTTGTGGCGATCTACACTCATGATGCCATTTCGAATGCCGTTGTGAGTGCAGAACGTCTTCCCTATTTGAGAAACAACACGATAATGGCCGTCGCAAGCTAGTCTTAGAGGTTGGCGTATTTGACTACGTCGAAGAAGACTGCAACATGTTCATTTTGATTATACTGACTGTCCATAGTCGATGCGCACGAAGTAACCGAACCCTGTCTAAGCCGGTTTTCTGCTTGTCGATATATGATAGTACATGAGAAGTGACAAAGCAACAGGCATTCAATTCAGTCATCAATTCGATTTCCGTGTGCAATACATTTACTTACATAAACATTGTAGTATTGTTTGCAAATATCATCTGAATTTGCAGTTTGTACTAGTTTTCATGTTTAATTCTACTCGGCTAAAAGATTGCTCCAGGTACGTCTGCCTAGTGATGGGCTTAGCCGATTTTCATCTGGCATTCGTTTAACTGATACAGATGGTTAAGGCCTCAACTTAAACGGTAAGGCAGCCATTCAGTTTCGATATTTTTCCGAAATAAAATCATGAGACGCAGATGATTGATTACCACCAGTTGCCTGTATAACGAAACGCTCACAAAGTCTCAGAATATAATAGTGGACTCGTCTATACTAAAGCAATCCAACTGCTTAAATGTGTCAGTCATTCGAAACAGAAAAGGAACGGCTGCATCAAAGGGAGTGAGCATATTAATTGAATGATGCATAGACTGTATAGTAACCAGTAATCGTCTGTTTCCATAATACACTAATACCTCGCAATATGTACCTCACATATAATGTGGTACTCCCGAGAGGCGATCGCAAGGTTCTGTAGCCATTTGGGTGAACGTCACTTCGCACTTCCTTTAAACGACTTTTGAATCTGGTCAGAAAAGCTATGGTATTCCTACTATCCAATGCCGTCGATGTGTCACTACGCGTTCATTCGGTATGTTTGAAAGTAAATCTTATGAAGTGTGCAGACAAGCAAAGGCAAATAAACCATAGAATTTCCGCTGGAATGCAAAATATGCATTTTAATCAGTCAGTTATTTAAGGGAATTTCATCAAAATTTGGCACCGCAGACTGTCACCAGAGTGCTCAAAGCACGGACAATGGCTGGAAGGTCGAATACGTATCATCCCATTTAATGCCCCAAAATGCCGTGGCCGGACTGGATTCAGCTTATCGAGAAGTTTTCGGGTTCTATGCCCACCGAGAAAAACTGAGAGCAGGCACAACGCTCACGGAGGTAGGAAACGAATTGGTTTGTTTTCTTTCGAAAACAATCGTGAAAAAGACAAGTCCGTTTTTATCCGCGTACAAGGTCCCATTTGCAAATAATTGGTCAACACCTTACAAAAACCCTCATCGCACTAAACGATTGTGCTTCGGGATGAGACAGATAATGTGATTCAACGATCTGACAACGTAATAGTCGTAATACAGTATATATAAGAGGGATAGGCAGATCCGATTCACAGAAATAGACTAAAACCGTGCATATGTGTAGACACATATAGGATAATTTTGATCACTTCCTCTCCAGTAAACATGTGGCAATCATATAAAATCTTTTCGAGTCATCTTTTAACTGCGTGAGCACATTCCGTCAGAACAACCGAATTAGGTAGATTGTTCTAATCTGTTATAACCCGATTCAGTTCAATTCAGTTTAGTTCAGCGAAAAATTGGTTGTTGAACAATTGAACTCCCTGTTTCTTACCACGCAGCGAATTATATCAAAAACTTGAAAATGAAAAAAATAAACAGCTACAGACGTTTTTTTCGAAAAAGAGTCAGACAAACGATTTGTTCCAACTGTTAGAAACATTGACAGTAGTCAGTTTATGCATAATCGGTGCGATCTCAGTTTCTGAGGGAGATGAATTGAATGCCCACACTCACATTCAACGGACTTGGTGTAATAAGAAAAAAACAAACTTTACTGAAACAAAGACAGTAATATAATAGCATTGACAAACTGTAAGAACGACACGCTAAGATGATGTCGGCTAGGTGACATTGTGACGTTAAATGGTATACTGGTCCAGATCGAAGGATGTGGACACGAAATCTGCTTGCAGAGCATTCATGGCCGCGCGTTATACGGAATGTTTGTATCAGATTGCCTCTTAGCTGTCTGTAACTCAGTGGAAAAAAGTTGAGATTGGATATTTCGGTGAGAAAAACTTGACTCGTACACCAACTTTGGCGTAGTTTGTCTTCAATTTATATTAGTGATCTCGGTGATTTGTCGTTTGTGCTAGTTTAAAAAATCGTCCCATTTGGGTAATTATTCAACTCCTTGACGAGTTTGAAGACCATGATCATGTCCCCTCCGTATTGCCTATGAGACAAAGTGGAAGAAGTCCGAGCCTTCTTGGCTGCTCCTAAAAAGGTAGGCCCTCCAGCCCCCTGACTAGTTTGATCGCCCTTTATTGCACCTTTTCCAAGACCTTGACGTCTTGCTCAATCAAAGAGCGCCATGCTTGGATGCCATACTCCAAAATCAGCCGGATAAATGTTCCAAACAGTCCACCGCAAAGCTTTTCATGAAAGTTAAAAGAGGCATCTCAGGATGCCCATAACCCTATTTGCTATTTTGGCTAGGTGAGACGGCGGTTTAAAAGTAGACGTCATCCACACACCTAGGCACTTTACCCCGTTTACAAGCTCCAGTTCACAACCTCTGATGAAATTGTGATATTAAGATGTCGACCCTATCTACCGAGTTAATTATCGCACGATATCTATCAAGCCCAACCTCTTGCTGTCGATTTAAAATCGTCATATGCATTTAGATGTCTCCACACACTATGCTTCCGTAGATAATGCTCCCCGTGTCTTTTGCGAGGCATAATTCCGTCGGCAGTTTGATCAACCTTATAGGTGAGGACGGCAGTCATCTCGAAGACACAACGGTTGGTATTGAGGCCGAATTATTATTTTCGCCTAGCCCACTCTCTCTTCCTCATAAGTAGGATTCACAGACAACACATGACCTAGAAAAAAACGGTAAGGAAAGGACCCCCTGATCACTTTTGGAAAACACGTGGTATCACATAAAAGTTCACAAACCAGGCTTTGACACCCCAGATGACATATCGGCCCGCACTGAGCACACTCGAAAGTCGCTTCAATCCGGTGTTCAGTCCTCGGGTGAAGAAAGAAACGAGACACTTGAAAGCTTTCAAGAAAGGCTTATTAGCACATCTCTTGCTGACTAGGGCATCGGTTACCACGTCCACTGCACTGCTGCAAAATGAGCCCGAGCTCGGTTATAAAGTAAAGCATGGCCCGGTAACACTTAATTCTAAGCATAATTCCTCACTTTGAAGATCAAGACAGTTTCCATGCCTAAAGAGTGCAAATTATGAGAAAAAAACTAGAACAAGAGTTAACATATAATCATGGTTAGTGTTTTTTGAGACGCGGCCCCATTGAAAAGACAACTAATTTTATGGACTTTACAGTCCTGAGTTTCACGTACGACGAATTATAAATGAAACGAAGAACCCGTTAGGCAGCTGGAAGCAAAAATGGACGCCTAAGACGAATAGGATTTACGATCAGCGACAGATAAGTCATTTGAACGAAATGCGAGAGCAGTTGAAAAATGTCGATTGCACCGTCGGCTGAAACCGCTCGCGCGACCATTATTGATTGCGGAGCGACTTTATAAACGACTCGTCGCTGTTTGTTAAATTATATGAACATTGAGTGCTTAAATGAGGATTCAGACGCCCCTCAAATACGTTTTAGTGGATTTGCAGAAAAAGCCAATAAGTTAACTAAAGAAATATCGGCAGTTTTGCGTGTGCCTTTTAACATAACCCCCCTGGAAGAGAGAGTGGTTGAAGATGGTTCACTAAGAAGCGTCACAAGTTGTGTAGTGGCAGTAATTTAAAGTGTACCTGACGTCGGATATCTTCTCAGCTTTTGCTAATTGTCATGAAATCGATCGTTTTAAAATTTGCAACAAATAAAAAATGCTTAAGATTCGCATTTTATTTGCCTTCTGCGGACTTAATCATCAAAATTATTGAAATTTTGATTTATCTGCTCAAAAATACATTTTACTGCGGTAGTGTTTGGGACCCGAGATTAACAAGCAGTTCCATTGGTCCCGCTGGTTGAATGTGTTTTCCGGCTGTTTCGAATGGTGATTAGTCAATTTCATCCTTTTCTCCTTTGCATTTTTGTTTGGTTCGAATCATTCCCCTAGCAACCAAAAACAGCATTTTTCAGATGGCAGCACGGTGCATCGTCTAGCTTTTTGTCATGTGTATACGATTGTCTTCGTACAGTCGGAGCTAATTAAGCCGCTGCAGCTCCCTAAAATTCCACCCTGCATTTCAGGAGCATTCCGCCAGATCGTAACCCTGGGCATTTAATAGCTCACTCGAGTCGGGGTGTCCGCTATAACGGGTGGAATATATTCCACCCGTGAGATGGAGGCTGTTTGCGCCCGTCCGCAACCGCACTATCCGTGACCGGTAACAGCAGCAAAATGTTACTCTAGTAGCAAACCATATCGAGTAGATATCTATTAGATATCTATTTATCGAGATATGTATATCGATTAGATGTCTATTTTGAAGCAACCATAGATATCTATTAGATATCGATTAATCGAGATACTGCGCTATCGGCGAAAAGGGGGGGTAATATCCCTAGTAGCAAGGGTATATCGAGTCGATATACTATGCTACGCGTTTAATAGTTTGCTTATCCCAATTTTCTTTTCTACCCTCATCCATTCCTTGTTGTACGTATATAACCCCCCTATTACCCATGGGTACACTGGAGACGGTTGTATTGTAATTCGTTTATTATAAAAAGTCAAATTAATATGTACAACACTTTGCTGAACCCCTTCTGTGTTCACATAGTAGGTAACGCAGGCGAGAAATCAGTAGATGATCCGGGTATATTGTCTAGAAATTAAAATCCATTACTGGAAAACTACAATTAACTTACCACTGTCGTTGGGCGTCCGTTGTGACTTAATCCGCCGCTGGACACAGCTGTCGAGCGACCTCTTCAGCCGCTTGGTGACTGCTGACTCAAGGTCAGACAGCTTAACGGTGGAATCGGTATTCCACGCTCCGAAGACTTCTGCATGTTGTATAGTTGTAAGTAACGGCAGACCTACCAAGAATAACCTCATACAATTTAGGACCGCAGAGGCTCTCTTTCGTCTTTCTGCCTTTGAAATTTACATAAAGGCTTATCTCGTCATCGAACACTTCGAAGAAAATTCGTTTGACGAAATCGTCAATATTCTGCCCGCCGAGGCATGTTAGGAAGGAGGTCTAACTCAATGGGGTGTGATTAATATGGTGGCTTACCAGCTCCTGTCGGAAACTCTCAGGGGTGAGGGTTTGGACAACTGACCGATGATATTTGAATGCCACGCACTTGTTTTTAAAAGAACCGGTCATGGTCACCGTTCGCGTTGTTTACTTATTTCTAACCCAAAAGCATAATTGCCCGTTCACACCTAAAACCTCTTCTAATTAACAGAAGCTCTTAAGGGCTGCCATGGTTACTCGAAACAACATTTACCTTACGCAATGAACTGTTCCGTCTTCAACACAAAAGCATCCAAGCTATTTAGAATGGCCCTATCCTTCTATTAGTTGCGCTTTCTGGTGTTTTCAGACAATGGGACGAAGAGGCGTTGTTACCAATGTCCAGGTCGCCCTTCCTTTTTATAGACAAGGAATTTTTTTTCTACAAGCGCATACGGATAGTCCTAGTAAAAATGATGAAAGCCTCTTATAACACAATTTGGCCGTAATGTTAATCTTCTCTATCAAGCAACGAACAAAAGAGTTCAATACAGTTTCTGATTACATCGAATTTAGTCAGCACCAAAAAAGCGTATTCTACGAGTTGATCCTTCCCTCTTCATCATGGAGTGAGTCCAATTGGAGTTTTCGGATATCGTATGCAAAACGTCACGAAAGTAGTTCTGGCTCACATTTGTCTGCTACACCGTTTGCGAATGTGTTGCCCGCTTACTGGCCAGGCAAAACCCTTTCTTAAAGGCTAAGTATTCTTGATTTTACGGAATAAATATTAAAACCGACGCGGTATACCAGCCCTGTGTATACCAGCTCATCTGTGTAGAACCCATCACAGGCCGCAGATCCTAGTATAATCAGTCGACAGGGGTTTTATTATCGCAATTACCCTGACACCGTGTTTCTTTCATCTAATCCAGAGCTACGAACTTGCTAGGCATCCACTTGGGTGAAAAGAAAGACAAAGCGTACGGATAAGGCTTAGCTGTACAGTTTTTGAAGTTCACTAAAGTTATTGGAAATGCCTGCTAAGTCCGGTCTCACAAACGCTGTTCAGTTAATTTTGAAATTCATTCGTCCCATCCGTCAAATTCATTTTTTCTTAATTTCTGGTGTACTAGGATATTATTGAATCCTACCTGAACTTGCGCCTTCTCGCTGACTGCCTTGATGCCAGGGATAAGGAAAAACCTTCATGTGGTAAGAAAAGCCAATGCTTCGCTCTTCTTAATTTCACGGCATCTTACGAAGTCCTGTAGCAAATAGATGTCCTCAATTCCGCACGATTTCTGAGCCACACTGCCAGTGAACGCTTTCAAAGGTGGCAGTGCTTATTGGTAGTAATTTGCCATACATTATTGATTGCGTTCATTTGTGCCTTAAATGCTAGGCCCACAAAGTATTTGCTGCGTTCTTTTTAGAAATTGTTTGCCTTTGGACTTTAGACATATACTTCTCGGTTAGCATTTAGCGTTCTCCAACTGTCTGTCAGTGACATGTCCTGGAAGCGTCCCGCTATCCCAATAGTCTTGAAATTTTCGGAATAAGTTCACGTGTTCACTGTTGAGATTGCAGGTGATTGACAATGAAAATGGATAGGCTCTCGTAGGACTCACTTTTGACGGATATAATGGCTGCTTACTTATAACGCATCTGATATTGGGCAGTCTTAGACAGGTTAACTTTTCAGCGTTTGGTTTGACGTTAACATGCAGGTAGCAGTTCTCGTCTTTTTCTCGTCATTCCTGTCTGTCATCAGAGATCACGAATGCAAGTGCAGGCATGTGGACATAATTTCTGCCTGCTATTCACCATATTTTTAGTACGTGCAGATATGGAGCGTTTTTATGTCATTTTGTGTTTTTACAGCCATCCGCTATCACCTACGCATATTGCTAACGTATGTATCCCATTTCCCGCCCTTTATGAGGGCAGATTTGCAGTTTCCTGGTCGTTGAAAACTTCGAACTTCAATTTAAAGGCTGGTTCACCAATCTGTCCGACGGTGCTACAATTAATTGTTGGTTTTTCCTCCATAGCCGACTTTAAAATTCTCCAATCACCCTCACGTTTGCGGGTCCCATTTCGCCTTTTGGAGACTAAGACAAAGGAAGCTGCTCTGTTATTTCTGGGACCGTCACAGGGAATACTTATCGTCATCGTAGGATTTAAATCTGTCACAATGTTAGACTTTTCGTGCTTCTTTCTTAAGCCTGCGGAATTCAGGACCACTTTTATTGCGGCCTATCAGAACAACTCACATGACATTATTTCATTCAGGCGGTCCTTTATCCTTTCTTGAAGGGTCCTCTTTGGTCAGCGTGCCCCCAGCCTCGTCACCCCTCTACGAACCCTTCCATCAGCTCCTCGATTTGACCCGGGGTAAGTGTTTTTCTTTGTTCTCTCCGAATTTTCAGCTGGCTCGGATGGTATCAACTGCTGTGCCTCGGAGACGCCGTTTCGATGCTTCAATGTCACCTATGGGCTACTTGACAGAACAACTACGAGTCCTGTGTGGGAGATGGTCTCTTTCTCTCTCGCCTGCCATGGCTATGTCATTCACGCCGAACTACACCACAAACCACCATTGGGGTATGGAGTGCATTTTGACTCGCATGCTCTACTGTCACCTGCATTTTCCCCAATTTAATTTATCTGCCGCCTACTTTACAACAAAGATGGTTTGACTTGAAGTTACTTATGTAGGGTATGATGGGAACAGAACCTTCAGGAGTATGTGATCGTGATTATGAAGTCCGTTTCCTGAAATGTGTAAGAGCTGTGTACCTCTGTGCCAGTACCTAATCCCGACACGAACGGTTACCGCGGAAACCTCACTGTCTACATTTGAAAGTCGATCTGAAGTAATTTTATGGCGGAGCTTTGATCGCCTAAGGGAGTTGACTTTAACGTCAAACGCCTGACACACAATCAAGCTTCGAACATCGAAATACGAGCTCTTTAAGGGTGTTGCATAGCGTTCTCTGGACGTGAACGTCGGCAAGCGCCACACAGACTGTCTGACCTGACCATGTCCGTCATCGTCGACTCTTTCAGAAGTAGTATACCCTTTACACCTTGGAATTTTAAACTACGCACTTGAAGACGATCGTATATTGACTAGTGGTTTTTTTGGCAGTCTGTGTTGGGTTGGACATCCGGTTGTGAACTCCTGTCTATGCGCGCACATCGACGAAACAACCGTCTTTTGCAACTAATAATCATAGAGAAAGAAAAACAGTAAACCGTCGAGAGATCTGCAGTTTAAAGCCGGATCGGCAGATTTTGAAAGCCTGATGTTCTGTCGTGGTGTCACCTGTCTAAGTTCTGCCTGACACAGTCAGGGATATTGTCTTTTTCGACCATGGCGACTTCTTGTCACATATTTTTATTTCGCTCTCACTCTAGACCGGAGACCCTGCTGATGGATTGTGAACCTCAGTTGTCACTTGAAAGAAATGAATTCAGGCTGCAAGAGATGCTACCCCTGAGACGCTTCATTGAAAGTGAAATCCTTCCAGCGATCCACGCCGAGCTCTCCGATTCCCTCATTGCCTCCCCATCACCTACTCCTCCTCCTCCTCCTCCTCCCCCTTGCCTTGCTCATTGAAGTACTTTTTCTGTGAAAAGAAAACTTGTACATAATTTCGTCATTTTGCTGCCTCATTAGTGCGCTGCCCCTCTTTGGAGGTGGAACGGGGAGTTGAAAGTCTTATGCTGTCTATTCTGTAGCACGTCCATACTTCACACTTGTTATACACGCGCACATGAATCAGCGCCCTGGTCACTTTCTTTGGCTTTTTTGAGTTATTTCTTGACTTACGCCGGCCTTCTTGTACTGGACAGTCGTCGTAACCAGGTTCATGTTGTTTTTTGTCGAAGGCATGTCGTCTCCACACCCAATGGCAGTTTCAAAGAAACGTCCCCCAATTTTATCTACTCCGTGTGCCGCTCTCATTTCAGTAGGCACGTAATCGTTATTAATTATCTTGCAATGTCAGGTATTAATGGAGGTCAACTTCGTCTCTCAGGCTTGCTCATATTCTTTGGATATGTTGCTGTACATGCTTGTTTTCAATTCAAATATGTTGGATCATTAGAACGCGTCAAATAAGGCTCATAATACCGACCTGCCCTCTGCGGTGGCCAATGTCATCTTGTTTTTGTCGAAGATTTGTCGTCTCGGCACCGAATGGCATTTTCGAAGTAACGCCCCCAATGTTATTTACTGTGTGTGCTGCTCTCATTTCAGAAGGCACGTGATCATTAATAACTATCCTGCAAGCTCACGTATCAGTAGAGGTTGACTTTCTGTCTCGTGCGTTCTCGTCTACTTTGGATATGTCGGATCATTAGGATGCTTCAAATGAGGCTCATAATACGGAAATAAGTATGGCACGCCTGTGCCAGGGGACTTACCTTCCATAACTTTCAGTTTATTATAGTTTATTTTTTTGAGGACTGTAGGGGAAGCCGTTGGAACCCTGATGTTTTCATGTCGATGTGTCATAGCTGTGAGCGCATCTTGAACATATTTTACTGATTAGGTGATATTCACTTAACGTAAGTAGTATTGTTTTTAGAAAAATCGTCGTCGGCAGTTGACCTGGCACTTTGTTCACGTTTCGCGTGTTGAAGAACAAAAAGGTACACACAATCATCCAAGCGTCTCTTGCATAGCTGCAGGGACGCCACATTCACAACTGATTTCAGGGGGCTCATTCGACCCGTGGCGTGAGGAATGCAGATACAATATGCAGTCTGTATATTTTCCTGTGTAGCCGCACTGAGTGTCCGCGAAGATAAGGCAAAAGGTGCCACCAAAACACGTCCTCGGCAGTCCGAAGCAATGGAAGTGTTTCGTTTTGGATGCAGACGGCTGCCTCAATCAAAAAGATCGAATACTTACCACGAGGACGTACTTTTCAGGTTACTGGACATGCTCCTATCACTGCACTTGGGAGTTTTCTCTGCAACTTTCGCAGATATTTGCCTCGCGACGAACCTCAGATCTGCCACTGGCGCGTGAGGGTTATTCACTGGAGTCATCCAGTAATTCCTCCAGTAATTCCGCTAACCGGCAGACAAACTAACTTGTTCCCCCACAGCGCCTCCCTAAGATTACTGCCCTTATGACTTCTAATCATTTGAAGTCCATCTGGCACGCTCAGATATGAGCATTTTGGAAGTGTCGACATCCTGCCGGGAACCGTGCTGGATGCCCCCAGTACCCGTTGTCACATGCTCTGCCTTCGAGACTGGGATTTTAAGCAGAGACACTTGGACTTCGTAGGACGATCGCCAGCCGTCCTATGCTGCACACACCTTTGCAGTCGTCCCTAAGATTACTGCCCTCATGACATCTAATCATCTGGACAGCTGTAATATGGAAGTCCATCTGGCACACTCAGATATGAGCACTTTGCCACGTTAGTCATCTCTAGCCCTGCTGACTTTGTTGAAGGGCGAGGTCTATGGAAGGCCTCCTTTACCGCCCCAGTAGATCGGGCGCGTTTTTAAACTGTCACAGCGCGTTAAATTCGGGGGGTCGGAGGGGGGTTGCGGCTTACGAGTCGAGTGAGTGCTCGCCTGGACTACTGGTCGGACCTCAGTTGTGTGGCCTTTCAAGCTAGTAAATAAAATGCTAGCGTTATTTAAAGTCTGATTTGCATGAACCACAACTTGGATGATACGTGTAGAGGCGGGCCTTGTCACGCCAGCAAATGCAATCACGAGCACACACACACAGCCTCCGTCGTCTTGACTTCGTCTCCCGGTTAGGACGCTGTGGGCATTTTGAATGGGGGTGAGGTAGACGCTGCACAAACCTTTCACGCAGCGCAGCGCTGTGTGTACTCCGTAACTTGCTGCTGTCCAATTATCTCACACAGGCGCATGTGATGTACTGGACAATACTGGAATATTTGACTCGCCTCTGTGAAACACAAATCGTACTGGAGTAGGGCGTGGCAGTAAGTGCATCCCCTCCGGATTGCAGATGCCACTGCGCTAAATTCCAGAAGGGGGGTAGGATTGAAGTTAGAACAACAGTGTCCCCATCCACCAGAACTTTGGCACAAAGACACCTGTGCGAGGGGGAGCGAACTTGTGGAATTAAGTTGAAATGCGCCTGATCTGCTAGGAAAAGTGGGAAAGGCAAGTGCTTATTAGTCGTCACAGAGTTGCGCAGTTAATAGTATAACTGTCTCACTGTCTCCATTTCCTACTCCGTACTGCTGAAGTCCGATATGGGAGACACCTGCTTATGCGACAGATAGGATTTCATTTGCTAACCCCCCTTTAACGCTGTGATCATTTCTCAACTCTGACTGGCTTTCTCGCCGCCTTGGTTAAGTTAAACAATGATCCCCTGGGGCATGTTCTCGCCCTATCCTTCTCGTGAGTGTCCAATTTATGGCCGCTTTAAATCCCGATAGTTCAGTTGCTAACTCCCATTCAGCGCTGTGATCATTCCTCAACTCTGATCCAATTTTTCGCCGCCTTATCTTCGTTAAGCAGTAACCCCCTGGAGCATGCTCTCGGCCTATATTTATTGTGAGTGTCCGATTTTCAGCTGCTCCAAATCCCGATAGTTTGCATGCATGCTAGGCATTATGGAAACCTTAAACTAATTCCCTTTGCTTCATATTACATGAAAGTCTCGTCCGGTTAACGTTGTTTGCTGTTACAGTGTTCACAGGAGGGCGGATAACAAAATTCATTATGAGAGCGCAATACTGACTTGCGCGCGAATTGGGCATTTGCACGACAGACTTACACCGCATCTACCTCACGTCACTTTTTCCTTCCTTCACTGTCTTCTGGTGACAACGAAGACTTAAGATGACCACTGATGGGCGCGAGGACAATAACTGGCGTTGAAGATAGTGGCGTTCTGCCCAAATGAAATGCCGTGAGGGCCATACACGGAAGAATTGGCTGTGGGCTGATCTACAGATCTGAGTTTGATCAAGCTGTGCAGTTAGTTGACTACCCTCCAAAACGCGACTGATTGCGTCAGCTTGTTTATTATAAAGAATCGATGAGGGAGTGGATTTGGGCTAGATTCATCTCACTTTGTTTCGGCTTTTTGGTTGACGAGGCTGGGCAATAGTTGTGCAAAACTGGTCAACACGAATCGGTCCCTCGAGCTGTCAGGAGGATAAATTTGCCCTAGCGGTCACTGTTTGAAAGGGGACATGGAATCTGGACTGGTGTTTACGCGCTGTGATTCGCAGGTAGAGCTCAATGCCCGAAGCGTTGGAACAGTGCTTCCAAAGCCTCGGTACCGTTCCCAGCTAGACAGCGCCTCTAAAACATGAAAAGGTATTTTGCACGAGCTACGTTAAGGTCTAGGATATCGATGAAGGGAAGCGTATTCCATAGGTACAGCGGTAGCTTCCAAGATTCCACACTTCCAGCAGGCACGACTGTTGAGGTTATTTGCGTTCCAAAAAACAGCCATTTCCCGATTTATTTGCCTTCCAGGTCATTTTATTGGACTAGTGCTCCTCCTACCAAAAAACGGCGAGTTGATAAGTTGTCATTTTGGCCGGAATTCTCTTTCGTTTGTCGGTAGATCTGCTAGCATATTGCAATGGACGCACACTAACAATTACATTTATGTAATGTTAATTGAGATTCTGAAGTGTTTTTCCGTTTAGAAAGGATCGTCGTTTAGGTGGGGTCATAATTTTGGCAGTCATTCAGCATTATCTACAGGTAATCCAAGCACTCCAGGATGATGCCTTTTGAATGATCTTCCGTCTGGCCGCCATCAATAAAGCACAAAACGACCACCTAATTAATAAGATGTTTTCAATTGTTTCGAGATGACTTAATTAACTTAAAAATCATTCTAAAGAAAGCAGACTCCATATTTTTTTAATATTCTCTTGGTAAAAATGCATGGCACTGTCAAATTTTATTTTATAGGAAAATGTAACTTTCGGTTATAAAATGTTTGTAATTATAGGCCTTTTAATATTGCGATGTCACCATCATATCCGGTCGATAATCGATGCCGCCTTCGAAGTATACAATATGGTTCATATTCATTGCAAAATTTTCTAAACCCTTTGTGAAGTCTCCTCAAAAACATTGAGAAATTTGTCATTTTCTATACACGGAAAGTATGCGGCCTGCGGTTCGGAAATTGTAAATCTAAGTGTAAATCCGAGGTTTAAAATTATTCGGTAGCTGAAAAGTTTTTAAAATACTTAGGCAATTTTTGCTAGTGAAGACTAATTTATTGCCAAATATTTTGAAGAAAGAATACTTTTGTGCATGCTTCCTACAGAATATGTTAACATTCGTAAAGGCGTGAAAAATCAGTGGAAAATAAGTACATCGCTTAATTGACCAGATAGAGATTTTGTAAGCAACGCGAATGAAGCTCATTCAAAAACCCATATCCTGGTGCGATTGAAATATCTTGGAATTAAGTTGTATTCTGATCAGCATTAATTTTTTGCCTAAATAATCGTTTCCCGTCGAAAACACAGTTTTGAGTTTTGTTTTGCATTTCATAAACTAGGACTTCAGGCAATATCAGCTGCCAGCCCTGTTTCGAATTTCCGCAATAATCTGAAGCCACGCTTGAAGCGAACG